CCCCTGGATCTACCCCGGCCCGATTCATAGGATGTGCGCTGACGCCACAACGGGAAAACGCGCGGACTAAATCTGCCGATACGATCACATAGCGGTCGCCCCTCCCCCGTACCTTTCAATCAGCTGTTTGCCCAAAACTATTTTGGTTCCTTCCACTTTAATCAGCTCCTCGTTGTCGTTGTGAATGACGGTTTTCTCCAGCTCCTCCTCCTGCTCCTCCGTCATGGCCACAGGATTGGATGGAGGGGCGTTCGTCTGATAGTAGAGGGGGCAGAACTTGTTGGTTCTCATGTGGCCGATCGCTCCGCAAGCTCCACATTTCAGCTTCAGAGAGAGGAAAGAAAACGTAATCAGAAGCCGAGCTCAACAAAACGTCACCACACCGGGAGGACCAGATCTGCGCCCCACAATGATGGAGGTGAGGATCAGAGAGGCGCCCCACAACGATGGAGGTGAGGATCAGATCTGCGCCCCACAATGATGGAGGTGAGGACCAGATCTGCGCCCCACAATGATGGAGGTGAGGACCAGATCTGCGCCCCACAATGATGGAGGTGAGGACCAGATCTGCGCCCCACAATGATGGAGGTGAGGACCAGATCTGCGCCCCACAAGGGGTCCGCGGAGCTTCTCCTTCTCCTGATTGCGCTTCAGCCTGCGGAGCTGTTCCTGGATCCTCCGCCGCTCCTTCCTCATCTCCTCACGATGCTGTTCATCGAAAAGCGCAAACTTCCGGCTAAGATACAGAGAATGCCGTGTCACACAATGCCCAGAGGTTCCGTTCCCCGGCCACCGGGACTACGGAGGGGACTATGTCAGACAATGCCCAGAGGTTCCGTTCCCCGGCCACCGGGACTACGGAGGGGACTGTGTCAGACAAGATCTCGGGGTTCCGGTCTCCGGGTATGGGGACTATGTCAGACAAGATGTCGGGGTTCCGGTCTCTGGGGACTATGGAGGGGACTATGTCAGGCAAGATCTCGGGGTTCCGGTCTCCGGGGACGATGTCAGACAAGATCTCGGGGTTCCGGTCTCCGGGGACGATGTCAGACAAGATCTCGGGGTTCCGGTCTCCGGGGACGATGTCAGACAAGATCTCGGGGTTCCGGTCTCCGGGGACGATGTCAGACAAGATGTCGGGGTTCCGGTCTCCTCACATGAACTCGTCGTCTTTGGTGGAGCGGATCCGGCTGTAGGCGTCGATGACGGCAGGTTTGCGCACCGTCTCGCACCGCACGTATTCTTTGCCGTCTTCATCCCGGAACGTGCGGTAGATCTTCAGACAGCGACCACTGGCTGCGGAATTTAGACTGGTCACCGAAGCCGTGTCGTCGTCTCTGTGGGAGCCTCCGGAAGCAGCGGAACCTGTAGATGGAAAGAAGACCCGTCAGCGACCCAAAGACGTCACGGAACCCGACAGCTGAAAGCGGGAACATCCTCACAAAGAACAATATACAGCGGGAGGAAATGTCACCACGACAACGACCTTCCCGTCTGTTAAAGGAGAAGTACGGGGTCGGGGCTTTCCCCCCATAGTCCTCCTCGGGGACACAAACTAGCGTCCTCCCGTCACCCTGGGCTCAGACCACTGGCTGCGGAATTTAGACTGGTCACCGAAGCCGTGTCGTCGTCTCTGTGGGAGCCTCCGGAAGCAGCGGAACCTGTAGATGGAAAGAAGACCCGTCAGCGACCCAAAGACGTCACGGAACCCGACAGCTGAAAGCGGGAACATCCTCACAAAGAACAATATACAGCGGGAGGAAATGTCACCACGACAACGACCTTCCCGTCTGTTAAAGGAGAAGTACGGGGTCGGGGCTTTCCCCCCATAGTCCTCCTCGGGGACACAAACTAGCGTCCTCCCGTCACCCTGGGCTCAGTATATAGGGAGCTACAGCTCGCGGTATACTGAGACGCCGCAGCCGGGACAATTGTGCCTGGCTCCGCCCAGCTGCGTGAGTGACAGCAGGCTCCTCCTATCTAGAGGCAGAGCCAGCTGTACCCGCCCCCTCCCCCGTCCGTTCCGCCAGTCAGCGCTGGAGGATCGGGGAAGGGGGGAAACCCTGCAGGGAGCCGTGAGTGACAGTCACCACTCTCTGCAGGGAGAAGTGAGCGAGCGCCGGTATGTGTTCCCGATCTACTGAGCCGACCTGTGACAGTCTCATTGTCACACGTCGGCTCAGATTATGGTGGGCGGTCTTTATTACAGGAGGGGGCGGAGACAAGACCAGTCACCCTGCACAAGGAGAGAGAGCAGTCACTGGTCTTTATTACAGGAGGGGGCGGAGACAAGACCAGTCACCCTGCACAAGGAGAGAGAGCGGCAGTGACCGGTCTGTATTACAGGAGGGGGCGGAGACAAGACCAGTCACCCTGCACAAGGAGAGAGAGCGGAAGTGACCGGTCTTTATTACAGGAGGGGGCGGAGACAAGACCAGTCACCCTGCACAAGGAGAGAGAGCAGTGACCGGTCTTTATTACAGGAGGGGGCGGAGACAAGACCAGTCACCCTGCACAAGGAGAGAG